GTGTAGGAATTACAGTATTTTCCTAACCCCCACACCAGTTTTAAACAGCATTAATGCCAACTTCTCTTACCAATCCTGGGAAATTAATAGTAAGGATCCCCATAAGAGAGTGTAAACACATGGATTTTGGTAAACTGAAACACGGTCCTGATCACCTGACCACCACCACCACAAACTGGGATCATCTCCAAGCCTGGATGGCCAGATTTCAGTGGTGGCCAGAGAATATTCGCACAATTAAATAGAGTGCACCACCTGCATCCATGCCTGGAGAAGTCTGATGTGGCCATGGTAACATCTTTGTTACATCCCATTTTGATTACTGTAATATGCTTTCATTTTGGATATACTCATCATAGGGTATCAAAAAAATATTCATAAGCGGTATAGCATTGGCTTCTACTGTCCAGTACTCAACAAAAGTTAACTTGGGTGTTATTGCCATTGTTTGTGGAAGACCATTTGGTAGTATCATCTTCCAATACTGCTGCTAGCCAGCTGCTCCCCTCCAGGAGTTTCCCTGTCTCCATCACCACTGGAACTGTCCATTCTCTTTTGCTGATGTGACTGTTTTTCCTGAACAGGGTGGATGCATCTCAGTTTGGTTTCTCAGCTTTAACTATTCCACATTGAGTGACCCTGCTATGTGCAAACTAAACTCATAATGGACTAGCCTCCTGACATAATTGCTTTCAACAGCCTCCTCACCATATTATGTCAATCCAAGAGAGGGTTTATGTAATTTAAGTAACATTTCTGGTGAATTTAAAGTCCATATGAAGAACAGATCTGCATTACTAAACTCAATTGATCATAGATTGGAACCACATAAATTATCAGGGAATAATGCAAAAAGACAATTTGGTTAGTCAAAAGAAAAGAAAACCCTCACTGGATAATGGAAAAAACACTTAACATTATTGACAGACAAGAAGCAAAACATGACAGAAATAGGGTCAGAATCCTAAATGCAGCTTTCAGCAACTTTTGTGTTGAGATAAAGGAGAACCATTACAATAATAATTGCAAATAAATAGGAACAACAAAAGAAAAAGTGAGAATTTTTATAAGATTCAAAAATGAAAGGGAAATGTAAACCTACATTAGGATGCTGAAAGATCAACAGGGAAACATACCATCTAAGACCAGGATAAAAACAGAAACAGCATACTGAAGAACTACAGAAGAGAGGCAAAGATAACAGATTTCTTTGAAGATGAATTCTGTGATGAAGAAACTGCATTTTTAAAAGTGAAGTGGAAGCTGCTCTCAAAGCACTTAGAAGGAAGGAATTACCAGGTGTAGGTGGAATGCCAACATCAACAGGGAAACATACCATCTAAGACCAGGATAAAAACAGAAACAGCATACTGAAGAACTACAGAAGAGAGGCAAAGATAACAGATTTCTTTGAAGATGAATTCTGTGATGAAGAAACTGCATTTTTAAAAGTGAAGTGGAAGCTGCTCTCAAAGCACTTAGAAGGAAGGAATTACCAGGAGTAGGTGGAATGCCAATAGAACTCTTTCAAGCCACAGAGACTGCATCTGTCAAAATCCTAACAAGAACAAGCCAACAAATATAGAAAAGAAAACAATGGTCTACAGATAGGAAACATACAATAGACACTCTAACCCCCAAGAATAGGAGACACCATGGAATATAAATAGAGAACCACAGCATTTATGTCCCATGCAACCAAAGTGATGCTCAAGATGTTGCAATAAAAACTTTTACTCTATATGGAGCAAGAAATGCCTAACGTTCAGTTTGGATTCCGAAAAAGAGGAGGCATTAGAGCAGAGGTCCCCACCCCCTGGTCTAGACACTCTAACCCCCAAGAATAGGAGACACCATGGAATATAAATAGAGAACCACAGCATTTATGTCCCATGCAACCAAAGTGATGCTCAAGATGTTGCAATAAAAACTTTTACTCTATATGGAGCAAGAAATGCCTAACGTTCAGTTTGGATTCCGAAAAAGAGGAGGCATTAGAGCAGAGGTCCCCACCCCCTGGTCCCATGGCCTATTAGAGCAGAGGTCCCCAACCCCTGGTCCTGGTCCACGGCCTTGCCAGGACCAGGCCACGGAGACAAATCTCCCTGCACATTCAGATGCATGCACGGCCCCTTCCACACATGCGTAGACAGTCGCCCCCCCCCACACGCTAAACCAGTCCGTGGAGGCAAAAAGGTTGGGGACCAATGCACTAGAGATCAAATTGAAAATATATGTTAATTACTAGAGAGTGACCCCAAATTTCAGAAGATCAGTTTATGCTTTATATACTACAGCAAAGCTTTGGATTGTGTGGCTAATGAAAAACAATGGTTTGTTCTAAAAAAACCAAGTGTGCCTTAACATTTGATCGTCTGTGATGCATAACCGGGACAAGAAGCAAGTGTCAGGACAGAATAGGGAGAAACAGAATGTTTTCCAGCAGAGCTTCAACAAAAAAGAAGAAAGTCTAAAACTCAACAAAGCCTGTCTCCCAGCACTGAAAAATACAGCCTGCAAAAGGTCAATGAACCCTACCCAAGGACGGGTGATGACTGCACACAAAAGACCAGCTAACAACACCCATCAATCACAGTGACAGATCATCTCTCCCCCTTATCACAACAATACACCCACAACAAAAAAAAATATGCTGATCACCATAATCACCTAATCTGAAAAGGACAAAGGCTGATTCCCCAGCTATAAATACTCAACTATCCCACAAACTGCACCAGAACACAGACAGAGTTCTGACTCCTGTCCTCTGAAGATGCCAGCCAGAGAGACTGGCAAAACATTAGGAAGAAAACCCTTAAGAACATGGCCAAAGAGCCCGAAAAACCTACAACCATCGGATCCCAGCCATGAAAGCCCTTGAGAATATATAGAATGGTTTCCCATAGGCAAAGGTGTCAGGCAATGGAGTATTTTATCTCCCTATCTATTCAATCTGTATGAAGAATACAAATTGAATAAAGCTGGACTACATTCAGATAAAAGTAGAGTCAAATTGGTGGAAGAAACATCAATAGCAAGATATGCATCAGTAGAAGTAAAATAGAACATTGACTGAAATCCCATTTTTTGGCATTGTGAGTTTTACTAAAGTAGACACACTGAATCAGTGGATGTTTGGTGAGTCATCTCTGCAAGTTCCATTGATTCAAATGAGTCTCCTGTAGTTTCATTTAACTTTAGTGTAATAAGTCATAACTAGAGTAGTTCCGTTTGAGTCAGTAGAACTTATGGGGAGTTTATTCATCAAATTTCCACTGATTCGATGAGTCTAATCTGTTGTAACTTACTACACTAAGCACCAGGATTTCAGCCACAAAGACAAAAATCATGACTACAGAAGAACTACATAATTTTCATGTTGACAATGAATAGTATAGTCAAAATAGTATGATATACCTCCATTCAGTCATCACACCAAATGGAGACTGCAGCCAAGAAATGAAAAGGAAGATTGAGACTTCGGAAGACAGCTATAAAGGAACTAGAGGAGATCATAGAATGTAAATGTATCACTGGAGGTCACGGGCAGGATCATCAATACAATTGTAATTTCCAAATACTATGTATGGATGTGAAAGCTAGATGGTGGTGAAAGCCAACAGGAAAAAAAGCCTATTCATTTGAAATATGGTGCTGGAGATCTTTTCAGATATTCTTAGCCACCAGAAAGACAAACAAGTGTGTACTAGAGCAAACAGAGCCTGAACTCTCTGTAGAAGCAAAAATGACACTATGGCATATCATAAGACAGTAGTGCTCATTGGAAAAGGCAGTAATGCTAGGAAGTGTGGATGACCAAATATGAGGTATATTGACACAAAAAAAAGAAGCAACAGGGTTGAGATTGCAAGAATTAAGCCAAGGATGTTAACGATAGGACATTTTGGAAGTCATTCAACTCATAGGGTTGCCATAAGTTGGAGGTGACAGGACCGTAGATAGCAACTACAAATTTGCTTATGTGGGGCTGTCTTTGGAAAATGTTTAGTCTCTAGTGGGTATAGTGGCTTCAGCCAGGATGTTGACTAAAGACAGTTACAGTGAGAAGAAAAAAATGTTTGCTTCAACACCTTCATTAGCTATTGGCGTACCTTCAGACACAACTCCAAGAGTGCTCATTGTGATTATACAGCTTGAGTCCAAGCTATCTGACAGACTTATCTCCTATATACTGTAAGCCTGCATGAGTTTTAATATAATTACAGGAAGCCTTTCTCCTATTCCCACCAACCTTGGACATGCTTGGAGAGGATATGAGAAAGGGCCTTTTCAGTTTCTACTCCCAGGTTGTGGAGCACCTGTGGAGCACATCAAGTTGGGCCTTTCCCTGTTGATCTACCATTTAGCTGCTGACAGGCTGCCAACCGACGTGCTTTAATGGTGGATACCATAGGTTTTTTAATTGTTTTAAATGTTTTCCCCCCACTGGTTTTAATGTGATATGTTATTGCTTGTTTTACTTGCATTTCTCCTTAAATATTTCGTAAGCTTCCTTGAAAAACTTCATAACTGTTAAGAGTATACACCAGTGGAACCAATTACCTTGAGAGGCAGTGAGTGCTCCAGCACAGCAGGCATTCAAGAGAAAATTGGACAACCATCTGTCAGATCTGCTTTGATTTAGACTCCTGCATTGAGCAAGAGGTTGGACTCCATGGCTTTATAGTCCCTTTCCAACTCAATTATTCTATGAGTCCAATTGTTGGTAGAAAGGTAGGGTATAAATGAAATGAGCAAACAATGCAAGAGGAAGACATCATAGTAGTATTTACTGACTATAGTTAAGGGGCCAAGAAGTGCCTCTGTTCAAGTTTCTTCTGTGTGATCAAATAATCTTCTGAAGTGGAAGAAGGCAATAGATTAGGAAGAGAAGTTAATCAAAAACTTTCTTGCACATGCTAAATTTCACATATATCCAAAGTTTTTCATATTTATATCTCATAATTTTTAGATATTAAACTTAAAAAAGGATCACAATGCACAGTAAAATTGTTTTAATGTTACATCATGTCTGTACACAGTCAGTACATACACGTCTCCACACAGTGAACTGGATTTTATATTATGAAGTGCAGGTTGATGGCCTAAAATAAACTTTCCTTTGCAATTCATAAAGGAAGTAGGGACCTAAACAAAAAAGAAAAGCTATTTTGTAGTCTAATCATTTCAGTCAGAATCATGCCTGATGGACTCCAGTAGTCAGCTTTCATTCTTTAGCAGATGGTGGGTTCTTCAATCGCCTTGGCACCCTCTGTAACAGCTTTCACACATTTTGCCATCGTCTGTGATGCTCTACTAATAGGATCTGAAAAGACAAATGTTTGTGTTCTAACTTTTATAAGACTAAGTACTGCTGTGTGTAATAAATAACACTTGTTTCAACTATTGGCGTATTTCATATAGGAATGAAAACAAAACTGTATCAACTCTTACGTTTACAGGACGTAACTATAGTTATGTTAAGGGTATACATTAGTAATTTCTTAGACCATGAGAATAAGAGCACTGTTACCTGTCATATAGAAGTCTTTAACTGTGAGTTGGGGTGGAACAAGTGGTTCAGCAAGAAGTTTCTGATTCACTGTCTGCAACAGAAGAATGACAAATAGAGTTGAGTGAGACTATGTTGCATTAAATTTGGATCTACAGATTTGAATCTAATGGATGTTACATTTGTTATACTCTGGAATGACTCTTCAGATAGACCTGATCAGGAATTCTGTGCAAACTACCATTACATATCCTTTTGTGGCTCATATAACAGTTCTCTTCCTTTCATTGCAAAGAAAGTCTACAGGATATTCTGGATATTATATCTAGGCTGAAATCCAGCAGCAGAACATATGCTGTGTAAGTTAGCATAGCATCCAGCAGCAGAACATATGCTGTGTAAGTCTGATGATGTAATTTAGCATAGGAGTTTTTTGTGGCAGATATGTACCCTAGACTTAAGATACATTTCATGAGGAAGCAGTTGGGGACTGCAGGACAGTTTTACTGGTGGCAATGATACTTAGAAATTAAAGACATCTACAGCCACCAATGGCTTCTCTATGACAAAAGGGATCCCAAGGGAACCTTAAGACCTTCGGGGGACAGGGAGGAACATTTATTTCCAAAAAACTACTGCAGCTGATGACATCACCAGCCTTATGTAATTTAACTTCTGTTACTGGATTCCAACCATACAGTGTTTTTTTTTCAAGTTTTAATTTTATTGCAATGGATAAAATTAATTTTTCCATGGCATTATTAACATAGAAATAATTCTATGTGGTAGCTTATGGTATATTTTATATAAGTTTTATATGAACGTTTTGTATGGACACACGTCAATTACCAGCACAATAAAGTCAATATCAAAGAACTGAGGAGTCACTTGGGGCAAAACTCTTCTCATGTGGTACACCTTCGGTTTATTTATAATAAAATGCTTATTTTATTATAGCCAGATAAGTATACATTGTTACAAGAACATCTTACCTTGGACAGATCAATTGCTTGCCTAAAGTAGTTGGCTTCTTCTACATCATCATATCTAACCAAGTTGGGAGACACTTCTTCCAATCTTTTCCTTACTTGATCAAGTTTGTCATAAGGGAGAGTCATGCCGGCCACCTGTAACAGATAAGAGGAGGGAGGAAATAAGTAAAAAAAAGTTTAACAATGAATATTCAGAATAAACAAACTTAAAACTACTGATTTCAAAAGTGCTGCTTGTGTCCATTTAAAGGTTTACCAAGGTATCTGAAGACACAGATCTGATGTTACAAAACGTAATACTACGGAAAAGTAGAATTTTTGCTTGGCATAAATACAATAGAAAGATTAACCCATTGATATATTTGCTTGGTACAGTAACCCAAAGCTGACTGAAATCCAATAGCTACTTGCAAATAGAGTAGGTTTACAGGACGATTAGGAATTTGGTGAGTCAACGCCTCTGTAAATTCCACAGATTCAACAAATCTACTCTAAGCTGCAACCTTTTACTGGACTTCAGCCACTAGTTGTTAGAATATATTTGGCCAGCCCTAACCATTACTAACAACAGCACACAATACTGTATGTTGTAACTATATTCCAAGAAGCAAAACAAAGCCCACATATTTTCTCCCAGGAATCTCAAGTTAAACTCACATTTAATCATTCAGCCCACACATACTGCTGGAGCAACAGTTACCAGATTCCACACTCAGATCTCAGAATACATTTGAATAAAGAAATAGTCCCAAAAGCCTATTCTGTCTATTTTCCTATTCTGTGGCAATTACTTTGCAAATTCACACTTCAAAAAGTTTCCAGTATCTGAGAAGACCAGGCCAGAGAACAGGTGTAACTGACTTCCAGACGCCTCTTCAGGTGGGCAGAGGCAGAAGTGAAGGCAGAAGGAAATCCCAAACCTGGGAGCTTCTGCCACTGATTCTGGAAAGGACTATATAAATACAGTAAACAAAACAACACCACTAACAGGTATGATTTCTAGCCTATCGCACTACCTCAGAAATTGCTCTAATAATTCTCCAGTCTTCTCTTGCCAGGCCAGGCGGTGTTACAGCTGCTCTGGTTTGCTGAGCTCTGCCTTCAGTGTTCACATAGGTTGCAGTCTTTTCAGTGTAAGCTGCTCCCGGAAGAATGACATCAGCCATAGGAGCACCTATATCACCATGGTGCCCTAGAAAAGATTGTGAAAGAACCATCAGTAATGACGGGATACAAGTCTGGATTTCTTTATCTATGCTGCATTTAATTAATATAAACAAAAGAGAAAGATGGGGATTGTGTTTAGAAGTTCAAGGACCACAAAGATAGCCTTTAATCTAGCTTTTACCCAGCCTTTACATGTGTCACTCTTACCCAATGCTACTTTCGCTTTTTTGACTAGTTTACTTCCCATTAGGCCTTGTGCCTGGATGCCTCATTTTTTTACTTCTTTAGCTATTTGCCTCATCTTACTGCACTTTTTATATAACTACTGACATCGTTCAAATATGTCCTTGCAGGCATCATTTCACAAAACAGGAGGCCTAAAATTCAACCATATTTCAATGCCTCTAAAACTTTCAGAGAGAGTTCTGAATTTTTATTTATCACCAGTATACTTCAGATATTAATCTAAGTAACTTAGTATATCCTTAACTTTATTACATAAACTACTGCCTGCCTAAGCAATCTTCATTCTTTTGCACTATTCCTTTGTCTTCACAGCTACTCTTTAACTTTTAATACCCTTTGGCAAAAAACTGCAACTGATGGAAACATCAGCAACTTCCATCAGGGTTTGTTCTATTTGATGGGTTATTATTACTCAACCAAACAATTTGAAAAGTCATACTTCATCCAGTACCTGCCGACTTTTCAATTTGCTTATGGGCAACATCAGCTGATTTTTATCAGAGTTAAAATCTTACTTCATGGGTTAAGAGAAATACTAAACATGGTCAACTGAATGACATTTCTTATGGAAACATCTTCTCTTTCTAAGTATACTTATTTATTATTTATTAATTTATTAAATTTGTATACCACACTTACTAGTGATAAACTAGTAAATACTTTATCTATCTTGCTCAAGTGACAATCTCATTGAGTTCAACAGTTTAGAAGAGCAGCCTAAACAGGCTATGTGACCAAACTGCACTTTCAAACTGTTTTCTTGGAAGGAATGACTGCCATTCAGTTTAGCGTGACATCTTACACTATGAAAACATTAGCACTTTAAACAAGGGAAACATGAGCTCCGCCAACAGGACATGTGGGTTTTTTAAACTCCTGGCTCTGCTGAGAGTTGCATAACTTTAAATAATTTAGTTCTATTTTTGTAAGAACTCATGTGGCTCGCACTTTTTTTAGTTTCAGAATCTGAAAGCCACTCAAACAAGTTATGGAATATGCAAAACAAATCCCAAAATTAAGTTTGCCATTAATATGCGAAGAAACATTGAGTATATTACTCAATTTTTTTCTGTGACAAACCTAAGAGTTACTAATGGCGTTGTTGGAACAATAGACAGCACCTACTTACCAGACTGCAAATCATGAAAAGATAGCTTGACGGAAACTAATCCAAACAATGCTGATCATTTATAAAAATGATACAATAAGCCAGACATTTTTAAAGCTGAGTAAAGAGGCTTTCCAAAATCTGTTTATAAAGGTGCACAGCATAAGATATTGAATATTTGCCATGGCAAATATTTCAAACAATTGATATAAAATCTGCATCAGGAACGGATGGACACCAAAAATATACAGTATTTCAGATGTAAAATTCACATTTTTGTTGCTTTAACATGCTCAATTCCCTCTCTTGGCCAAAAGAAAGGTGTAATAGTACAACTTACCTTGATAGATAATAAAACAATTCTTAGGCAAATCTTGACGAGTAACACAACCTGCATCAGCCCCTAAGAGATAAAGCACTTTGGGGGGATTCTTCCGCACTGTGTCCACTCCTGGTTTGTAACCGAGATCAAGAGCAGCTACCTGGCTTGCAACCCTACAGAAGAAAAGATCACTGTTTTCACCCAGTATGTCCTTTCAAATGAATTTTTTAAAAAAGTCCTGAAAACTATAATCTGTTAAGAGACCACATTTTTATTTCTGTTGTAATTATATAAAGCAACTCTGTGTTCAGTAGAACTGTATTTGTGGAAAAGACAGATTACTCTGACAAAGTGCTGTCAAATCTGTAACAAAAAGATGCAGCAGCATGAGTTAAAATTTCAGACAAAACAAATTACATCCATTGGAACATGTTTACAGATTATACAGAAGGAAGTAACTCCAAGCCTACAAGCTCTCTTATCCCAATGCATACAGACTGAAAGGAACAGGCATCATACCGCTGTTCAAATGTCTTGATATAAAATGCCTAAAAGCCAAGCCAGCACTGACAACGATCAGACTATGAGAGCTCGGTTCAGATTTAGATACTTGCTAACGGGCTAGCAAGAGGGCACTTCTCTGCCCTCTAAAAACAATACACAAGTTAATAAACCCTGCTGAATGAGATGAGATGAGCTGTGATGCAAGGGTCATGGGAATGCCCAAAATCAAGGAGATGTGTTTCCAGCAGAAAGTAGATGCTAATCCAACCTCCTGCTATTTAGAAACACAGCTGGCTAGGGAGGTTCAATTTTTGAGAAATATATACAAGAAAAAGTTGTTCTTATATTTGGAGTTAAATAATGTACAGTGGTGCCTTGCTTGACGATGATAATTCGTTCCAGCGAAATTGCTGTAGAGCAAAAACATTGTCAAACGAAATTTAAAAACCCATTGATACGCAATGAAAACCGTTCAGTGCATTCCAATGGGATGAATACCTGCTCGTCCAGCGAAGATCCTCCATATGGCAGCCATTTTCGGTGCCTGTAAAGCAAGGAATCCATCCTAGAAAACAGCGGGCGGCCATTTTTTTCAGCCGGTGGTCATTTTGAAACCCGACCATCAGCTGTTTGCTGATGGTCGTAAAGCGCAAATCGGTTCCCGAAGCAGGGAACCGATCATCGTTAAACGAAAAAACCCATTTAAACCATCATTTTGCGATCGCAGCAATTTCCTTGTTAAGCAAGCTAATCGTTAAGCGAGGCACCACTGTATTACTGTTCAGTGATGCAATGAAGTTCATATTTTACTCTAACAAGGCAGTTCTACAAGGTCTTACTAGGCTGCATCCCTTTGGAGACAACAATTTAATCAGTTGTCAGAATGCTGGGAGATGGAAGTAGAAAGACATCAAGCTTGAGCCAAACCTGTGGAGAATGTTCAGGACTTTCCAGTCATCACCAACTCCACTTTTTGTCCTAGCATTTTGTGCAATGGTGGAAATGGCTGAATGAAGAGCTGCTCCATCACTACGCTGCAATGCTACACTGCCAACCACCACCATTGGCTTTTTAGCCTGGTTCAGGACCTGTGATAAATGGAACAAGAGGCAAGAGAGGAGAAAATCCATTCATATCTTGGATATTAGAACAATAAATCCATTTTCAATGAAAGGATTTAGCAAAAGCACAGATTTCTTGCTAAGTTACCTTGCTGAATGGGTGTTTTTCTGAAGCAATGTCCAGGAGTATCTGTGGGGAATCACCCAGATGATCATATGTGTAGGTCAAGTCAACCTGACTGCCCACAAGAGCCACCGTGAGCTCATTGTGAAGCCAACTGAAAATGAAGCACAAGGAACATACTATCTTGAAAGACACAATTTTTCTAGTGCACGGAAAAAGTTATGCTACATTAGCTCATATTTCTAGAATATATTGCTTTAGTAACTTCTGCAGATGTTGCTGAACTTGAAAAATATACAGTATCGCACAAACCAGCCACAAACCTATCGTTGTTTGCATGACTTGCAACAACTATTTAACCAAGTGCTGGGCCAAATATTAGTTGCACAACTGTGAGTGCATAACCTGACATGTTACCAAAAATGGCCCAGCACTTTGTCCATTAATCAGGACATGTTACACAAATCTTATGTCAACACTAGTAGAATTCTGGCCAATGACAGATAAATATCTGTGATTTAAAGGCAACATAAATCATGCAGAGACATGCAAAGTAATAAGCAGCAATCTGTGCAGAACCAGAGAGGATGGTTTTGAAGCTGCCTATATTTTCAGAGGCTGGTTATTGAGCAGTATAAAGCAACTCTACTAAAAGAGAATAACATCCCAGCATACACAAAGAACTAGAGAACCTCTGGCTTTTACTTAGAGGTACAACATATCTCTATTATATGGAACACCATGTGTATCTTTTTCTGATTCTCACATTTCTTATTCAACAGTATTCCTTCTCATTACAATGTCATGCACTAGATAATGCATGAGGACTGCCATAGCCATGGTCATCAAGATACTATATAGCCTTTAGTTTACAGCAGGTACACACATACAATCTAGCTTCTCCAGTTGTGGTTTCTAATCTGCAAAGATAAATTATTTGCATCTGATGTCATGGAACTGCAAACCTCTTTCGAATTCTGGCATTGAACAGTGGTGCTTCAAAGCGTGGATTAGTGCCAATTAGCAGCAGAACATCTGCTTCTTCCACTCCTGCAATCTTGGTATTAAGGAGGTAGTTAGATCTTAGGTCTGTTCTATAAAGAGAATGCACAAAAGCAAAAATATGAAGCTAAACATAATAATTGTGATACGGAGTTACTATGTGAAGGACCAAGAGATGACTCTATAAAGAACCATTTTAATGTTAAAATAAAAGTAATGTATTTATGTATCTTCATCCCTCCATGAAATCTTATATTGTTGTCTCACTGACATGGAAATTTACTTATTTAAAATATTTTTACAACCTTTCTCCTTGAAAAGGACCCAAAGAGGCTTACACCAATGAAAGACAATATATAAAGTTGAAAACAATGAGTATACAACTCTGGTTAACATCATTAAAGGACCATATTTAAAACTACAAACAATGGATAAAGAGGCATCTTACATCAGTAACAATCAATATTAAGGCAAAGATCAGTAAGTATACAGAAATTTTAAAATGCCACTCTGAGAAACGGAAAACACAAGTAGTACTAAGAATCCAATCAAAGCAATAATGCATAGTAATCTATCTAAAAATCACACAGCTGATTACTGAGGGAAAGCTTGCTTGAAAAGAAAGGTCTTTGCCTGCTTGCAGAATGATACGAGCAAAGATGGGGCGAGTCTAGCCTCCTGTGGGAGCAAGTTCCAAAGTCTGGGAGAAGCAACAGAGAAGGCTCTCTTCTATGTCCCCATCACACACACCTGTGAAGGTGGCGTAAATGACTCTGGGCTTTTAAAGGCTATGCCAACAGAACAGTCCATCATGTTGGTAAAACTTAAAGAGTACAGTCTTGGTAGCAGATTGTGTCAGATGTCTAAGGACCAGCATAGCCAAGTACAAAGAGGACTACCACCAGACAGCTGGTTATCAGGAGCTGAAGTATCAAAGTAACTACTGTATGAAGATAGTAACAGTATGGAATAGCAACAATCTGCTATACTGGTGGCGGGGGGGAGTGGTATCCATGAATGCGTCTACAGTGGTGCCTCGCTTGATGAAGATAATTCGTTCCGTTCAAATCGCTGTTAAGCAAAATCCTTGTCAAGCGAAATTAAAAAATCCACTGAAATGCATTGAAAACCGGTTCAATGCGTTCCAATGGGCGAAATACCTGCTCGTTTTGCGAAGATCCTCCATAGGGCGGCCATTTTCCGGTGCCTGTAAAGTGAGGAATCCATCCTAAAGCACAGCGGGGAGCCATTTTGCATAGCGGGCGGCCATTTTAGAGCTGCCGATCAACTGTTTTAAAATGTTGTCTAGCAAAAAATCGGTTCCCGAAGCAGGGAACCGATCGTTAAGCAAATTTTTCCCATAGGAACATCATTTTGCGACTGCAATAGCGATTGGAAAAACTTCATCATAAAGCGGATTTGTCATTTAATGAGGTAATCATTAAGCGAGGCACCACTGTAATCCCAATTTAAAGTAATCCAAATAAGTAACTATCTCCACATTCTTTAGTGCTTACCACAGCATAACAAAGAACAGGTTGCTTATTTATGACTGTGGTTCTTTAAGTGGTAATCTGTGAATTCACATATAAGAACTCTGTACTTGCATGGAAATCAGCCTTCAAACTTTCTAGATCTTAAGGAGAAGTGTCTCTCTCCCCTATGCCCCCATTCCTACACATGACCAGGTATACCCTAACAGCTCTCACCCGGTTCTCCTCTGTCCGCGGGGTGGGATGTATAAGTTCACAGATGACCACCTGAAGAACTACAATTACAAGTAAGCAACCTGTCCATCATGGTCTTTGTGAATGATGCATATGGATGACTAGCAAGCTCACTTAGTGGAAGAGAGATCTCTATAGCCAATCAAAAGAAACATCCTGCCGGAAATGAATATTCAGTCTATAATATCTGACAAAGATATGTGGCTGGGAGTTAAATATTACCAAATTAATTTATTAAAATTTTCCCTTTTAGACATAAAAGAATATCGAAATCCAACCCATATATTTTTCCGCACTGCAATACCTATTTCCCCTCCTAAAGGGTCAGGGAAAAACAAGAAAGTAGAAAAAGTAAAGGAAGAACTATTTATAGTTTGAAAAACTATTGAATTCTAGGTAAGCAAGGCTCCAGCATTCTGCAAGCAGACAGAGGAGGACTGGATGAGAGCTGTTAGGGTGTGCCTGGTCATGGGCACTGGCATTGGGGGAGGGGAAAATGCTCTTTCTTAGGCTCTGGAAAGTTTCAAGGCTGCTTTCTACACAGATGCCAAATCTGTATGTGTGATTCACAAAAATCACATACAGTAGCACTTTCCTTGGTTCATCTTTAGTCTCATACCATTCAGCTTCATTAGAGCAGGGGTCCCCAACCCCCAGTCCACGACCATCCTGGAACTGGACCACAGAGACGAATCTCCATCCCCTGCCCGCACACACGGTGGGTATGTCGTGCTTGCGGAGGGGCATGTTGCGTTTGAGGGGCTTGTTACGCTTGCATGCTGTGGAAAGCCCAAATGGGAGAGAACAGAACTAGTATGTGATGTCGTTGAATCAGAATTGAACTGGAATCGAAGGAATTTGTAGTGAGTCAGGTGAACAGAGATGTGAAAGTACGCGTCTTAGAGATCTATGACAACAAACCAGTCTCCCTGTGAAAAGAGAGGAATGATAGTGTCTAGTGTCAACATTCTGAAGTGTCTAGGTCGGATGAATTTATTGAGATTTCTGAGGTCAAGGATGGGACGGACTCCTTCGTCTCTTTTCGGTACTGTAAAATATCCGGAGTAAAAACCGACATGCAGGACAGAGGGAAGGATGGTGGTTATGGCTTGCTTTTGGAGAAGAAGGAAAACTTCTTAAAGGACTGTCGAATGAGGGGTATTTTTAACTTTTCCGATAGGTGGGATAGTTTCAAATTCAATGAAGTAAACCGTTTTTAATGATGGAAAGGACCCATTGGTCATTAGTTATACGTTGCCAAGCATTAAGGAACGGATGCAATCTTGTTTGGGACAGGATTGAAGAATTTAAAGGAGGTAATTGGAATTGCCCACCCTGATGATGCAGGGCTCGAATGGGCCGAGGCCTGGCTGGAATGAGCATCAGTTGGAGAGAGGCCAATACTCGGCGACAAGCTACCAGCAGAGGCTGGAGCTTGGGCCGGAAGTAGAGATGGGTTATCTCTGTCAGAAAGAGAGCCTGGAGCATCTCTAGGTGATTCTTCCAGGATGGGAGATGGAAGTCAGCTGTGGTGGGTCGAGCTGAGTGGACTTTGGGGGTCTTTTTGGTTTCTT